TTTGTGAATGTTTTTTATTTGCAAATCTCATTTTATTTATTTGTGAATTTAATTAATGTTTATGAAACTCTGAGATTTATTTGTGAATCTCATCCTATTTTTTGTCAATATATTTAATTTTTTGTAAATCACTTTACATTTATTTGTGGATCATAATTTATTTATTTGGAATAATGCAACAATTCTACCCCAATATTACAAAGAACTGTATGTGGCCAGACACGATCGCCTGGTCGGTCTGATTGTAAAGGACTAGAAAGAAATACATAGAGACAGCAAGATTTATCAGCATACTACTGTTGAATTTAACTGGTTCTGCCATAACACATCTGACAGTGACTATTTCAAAAACATTCCAAACACTCCTGACATTGTAATTGTAAATGAGGCTTTGAACTCTGTGTTTGTTATTGAGGTAGGCTGTTGTTTTGATCTGTATCTGGATACCTGCTATCTTTCCAAACTGCTGAAATATCAGCCATTGGTTGAAGCTATCCATCAACTTGACTATCATTGTAAGTTAATTACCCTAGTATTTGGAAGTTTAGGCCATGTGCATAAGAATGTGATTAGAGAGTTGCAGTTGGGGGATTGCAAAAAAAAAGAAAGCAAAAAGACTTGCGAAATTCTTTTCAGTTTCAGCCATTATAGGGAGCATGCAAATATGGAAACGCAGATGTATATGAGCTATGTATTCCTGCCATCTGGCAAAATGACTTCCAAGGTATTTGGATTCCGTTTTTTTTGTTTGTTTTTTGGATCCAAATAAAATAATAAAGTGTGTGTGTGTGTGCGTGTGTGTGTGTGTGTGCTAGTTACTTTGTTTCCCATGTCTTGACTGACAGCTCTCGTGTTGCCATGTTGAGAGAAATCGGGAGTAAGTGCAGAGGCGTTGTGTGTGCTGTGATGTTACTGTAGTACTAGACTAAATATGAACATTATTTACTCTTCTCACTGCACAAAAATAGATTCAGTATTCCTCAAAATGAATGAAAACAGTCAAATGCAAACTCAGAATATTATATAAACCTGCAATAATTAAATATGTTAAATAAGACAAATATCATTTATGTATTTAATCCCATTTTATTAACCAATGTCTTTGCTACTGACTTTCGGTGATCTAATTCAACCATACTAATAAGCAAAAATGACACATTTGTGTTTCATTTTTGTTATTGCTGAATAGTGTTGAACTTTCTTCTCCTACATCATATTCTTCATGTAATTTGTTTGAGCTGCGCCCTCTGCTGTACAGACATGAATTTGCATTTCCTTCAGCCTCAGGCGTATTCAATTCACTTCTGTTGTGAAAAGGGCTTTTACATTTGTAAGAGAAGAACTGTAATTAGTTACTTTTTTTATGGAGTAACGCAATATTGTAATGCATTACTTTTAAAAGTAACTTTCCCCAACACTGTTCATAAGTAACTGTAATTTAATTACACTTTTTTACTCAGTAACTGTAACTGATTACAATTACATTTATTTTGTAATGAAATTACACAATTCCGTTACATGACAATTCAGATGTAACCCCCTTTGTAATCATTAACATTTTCATAAGTAACTGTAATTTAATTACACATTTTTTTCTCAGTAACTGTAACTGATTACAATTACATTTATTTTGTAATGAAATTACACAATTCCGTTACATGTAACTAGTTACTGCCCAACACTGTGTACTATTGCAATGTTTGAAGACTTGAAAGTGTTGTGAATCTTCATCTCACTCATTTCTAATGAGACAAATTCATTCATCACATAATGTTCTTCTTGAATCAATATATAAAATACATGAACCAGTTAAAAACATCTAACAGAATTAAGCAGTAAATATGGCAGTTATTTTGGAATCTGCCCTTTGCTTCCTGTTCATACGTTACAGAAATTTGACTCAATAAGTTTGACTTCTCTAAGGTAACTTTTTGTTGTGTACAAATAACAAATATGAATTGCTGCATCAGATATATATATATTTTTTTTTTTTTTTAGGAAATATTGCTTGTGCTCAGAGAGGTCTGGCATAAGAAATACGTCCTTTTGACATGGGTAAATGATTAACTTGTTGATCCCCAAGCAGGCAAGAGTTTCAGAGACAGACCAAAAAAGCATTTGTGAACTGAGCTCAAAATGAGAGTTCCTGTAAAACTCCTCAGCTTCGGCTTTTGGTTGTTTTTCTTAAATTGTGCCCGATGTCAAGGCAAGTGATTTTGTTCTTGTTTCTATTTATTTGAATGTCTTTTTCATTTAGATTTGACTGACTTCAATATAAATATTATATTATATGCAGTTTCTAAAACATTTAACTGTACATTTATGTAGCTTTAGAGCGTGTTGACTAGTTGTGCATGTACTTCAGAATTTAATATATATAAAACAGTTACATCTTTGCGTAACATTTGTTTGTGCTCCTCAGAATGTCTTCGAGAGGACATTAAACATGAAAACACAGAACCAGTTGAGAAAGCTTCATACGCTCATGGTGAAATAGTGAAAGTGAACTGCATAACAGGTTATACTGGCTTGTATAGATTAAACTGTGAAAAAGGAGAATGGAAAAAATCCATTGAGCGGCCATGTGCAAGTAAGAGAATTGTCAATATGATGACGATATAATTTTTTCATTAACAAATCAGTGTTACCATGTTAAGTTAAATTTGTTTGATTTCTGCAGAGAGAAGATGTAGTCATCCAGGCGACACACCAAATGGTGATTTTAAACTTAAAGAGGGGACGGAGTTTGTTTTTGGAGTAACAGTGGAGTATACTTGCAAGAAAGGGTAAATATGCTTTATGCTTTTTTTATTCAATTTTTTTATGATATGAAATGTATACTTTCCTCTTTGAGTTTGACACTCTTGTACTTGTAAAAACATTGTGTTCACAGGTATGAAATGACAAGCAGAATCAATCAGCGTACCTGCAGAGCTCAAGGATGGGACAACGCCGTCCCTGTCTGTGAGGGTACGATTTAATATCACCATCATAGAATAGTGACTCATAAGCTAGAAGATAATTATAACTAAAAAGATTTATAGATGTATTATTGAGTGATTGTTTTGTTGGTTTCTTTATTTGTTATTTATTTTCATATTCAGTGGTGAAATGTCCAGCCATTCGCACAGATGGGGAGGTGACTGCATCGGGTAACACAGAGGAAGGACGTTATGGTGATGTTATTCACTTTGAGTGTGTATCTTCTGACAAAATGATAGACGGAAATAGTGACATTCGCTGCGAAGAGACGGGAAAATGGAGTGATGCTGTTCCAAAGTGTAAAGGTTCGTTTCATTTTTTATATTTTTAAAATATGTTTTACTTACTACTTACTTTTTTTAATAACTACTTTCTACATTGATTATAAATTCAAATCATTATTTAAAAAAGCTGAAGATGTTTTATCATTTGTCTTGTCGAGGTTTTTTTCCCCTTTTTGTTCTTTTATTTTCATTTTAGCATATATATATATTGTAAACATGTAACATGCTATTAAAATACCAATCGTATCATTTGAGTGTTGCTAATAAAATCTGTACATACCCGTGTACATGGATATGACAATAATAGTACTTATAGGGCTGGGCGATATAGCCAAAAAAATAATAATAAACGTCAATATTGATAAATGTAGTACATATCAATAATTATCATGATAAATGTCACATTTTTATTTAGTTTAAAAGCAAATTTTTGATCCCGAGTGAAATTTTTTGAAACCAGACAGTTAACTGTGGTTCCCTTTCCAGTCGGTCACACCGAGTCACGTCAGTGACCGACGAATTGGGATCTCGCTTCGAGAGACCAATCTACTTCGAGTGTAAACTAAACGAGCCAATGCACATTGGCATGCGATGATTGCGTCCAGCTGCCACTGATCACAGCGTGAGCATAAAAAGGCAGCAAATGCAACGCATACCAGCTTTTCGCTTCGGAGCCGAGCGACAACATCGTTCTGCTCCTACCAGTGTCTTCAGTGAACTACGAGTTCAGCGAGTTCTTGGAAGCTTTTGTGTTGGCAGATGGCGCTTCAGCGGAGGTCGTTCCTGTGTCGAGTGGGTTGCACACTTCAGGCTGCACTACCCCCTGTCGTGCTGCAAGTGGCCTTCTCCCCTGTGTGCCTCAGCACGTAAAAGAGCATTTCCCTAAAAGAGCCAATTTTCTCTAAAAGAGCTTACACGGGTGCGTCTTTGTAAAGACGACGGATCGTCTTTTTAAAGATGCCGTTTCACCCGGACAGTGGCAATGCCTGAATCGGATCCAGAAATGTTGGCTATGCTTTCCCGGGCCGCCGAAAGGGTAGGGCTTGAGTGGAATCCTCCACCGCGTCCCGAGCCTTCAAGGTTGGATGATTGGTTTCTCGGGGTGGCTCGCGCTGGCTCTCAGCGCCCCGTCCCGGTGCCTTTCTTCCCGGAAGTGCATGAGGCACTCACCAGGTCGTGGACGGCACCTTTTACTGCCAGAAACCGGCCTTCTAGCTCCTCCTCCCTCACCACCCTCGACAGTGGTGCAGCGAGGGTGTATTCGGCGATCCCCCCCGGTGGAGGGGTCGGTAGCGATGCAGTTGTGTCCTAAGACCGTCTCCTCCTGGTGGGGAGACCCATTGCTCCCTTCCCGGGCCTGTAGGCATTCGTCTGGTCTGACCAGTGGTGCTTATACGGCTTGCGGGGAAGCTGCCTCCGCCTTACACGCTATGGTGTTACTGCTCCTCGTCCTCCCTGACCTTGCACAGCATCTGTGCGAGAAGGCTCACTGGGGAAAATGCATACTTGCGCAGGCCCCGCGGCCAGCTGTGTAGGACCCAGCCCTAGCTTTGCTCTGTCCCGTAGCTACGTAGACCGGACACAAAGCTTTAGGACCTCAGACCAGCTCTTTGTCTGTTACGGAGGCCGGCAGAAGGGGAAGGCCGTCTGAAACCTCCTTCGGGAAGGATGGGGCTTCCGCAACGTTCCTGTTCCAAGTGGAACGGGTACGTTTTCCCAGTGTTATAGTGCTATGACAACAGTGACTGGTCTTCTTGTTGCGAGCCCCGGCCTACACCACAAAGGGGCACAGGCGGCTCGCACAGGACACACTGGAAGGGGCAGCATCCATGGCGCTTTGGTAGATATCACAATTAGTCGGTCACCGACGTGACTCGGAGTGACCAACTGAAAGGGAACGTCTCGGTTACGTATGTAACCCTCATTCCCTGAAGGAGGGAACGGAGACGTCATGTCCCGTCGCCACGGCTGCTGTACCACCGCTGAGCAGCCGGGTCACCGGCTCGGCTCCTCAGCGAAAACCTGGTATGCGTTGCATTTGCTGCCTTTTTATGCTCACGCTGTGATCAGCGGCAGCTGGATGCAATCATCGCATGCCAATGTGCATTGGCTCGTTTAGTTTACACTCGAAGTAGATTGGTCTCTTGAAGCGAGATCCCAATTCGTCAGTCACCGACGTGACTTCTCCGTTCCCTCCTTCAGGGAATGAGGGTTACATACGTAACCGAGACGTTTTATCATCAGAAACATTGCAAATATTTGCTAAACAGGTGAACATTTCACATATTAACATTACAAGTTTTGTCTCCTAGAAATGCACTTAGCTGGAGTTGGGATGTAGATGTACATTTATGTTCATTAACAAAAACAGTAACATCTGTAAAAAATTGTAAAAACCTCATTTTTATAGGGTAAAATTTAAATATTCTGACTTGGTTATGATTAAAATTAACCATTGGTCTTCTATAGTATTTAGATCATGTTAACCATAGATAATCACTATCATGATTATCATATCATGAAAGTAACTATATTGTTTCTATTGCATTTATTATGAAAAAAAAAACCATATTATACTCCATTACTCTTTTAATACATTTAATGTCTGCATTGCTAATATAATCCCACATTTCTGCCACAATACCATGGTAAAAGTTAGTGTTACTACAGTAAATCCATGGCAAATGTTTGTGATTTGTGGATTGAAAAGCCTTCTAAATGGATTGTTGTTGCACAATGTTTCTCTTGTTTTCCGCGTCAGTGTTGTTGAGAATGTCAGTGCTGTTTCATCAGGCTTTAAACTAGTTAAAATTACTAACACGTTTGTGGTTTGTATCAGAGAACTCTGCACTGAACACATTTTTGGTGCAAAAATCTTTGCAAACTTTAAACTCGGGAAACATAATTTAAAATCTGAAACTGCATTTCACAACCCCTTTAGCTTCCACCAGTCTGTAACTCTGCATTTGTAGTCAAGAAGGTGCGGTACACAGAATAATTTGAACTGAAAATGTACAAAAATGATACAGTGTCAACAAAGTAAATATTTTCCAGATAATATGTGAATTGCTTTGACTTCAGTACAGTGACAACATATAAGTTTTTTATTTCATTTCATTTTTTTAATTTAGGCTTTTTAGGTTCAAGGCATCTGCAAATGCATGTGGGGCCATTGTTAGATTTAATACTGTAATATTATAAATAACACTAAAAAATAAGAGCTCATAAAAAGCTCAGAATATTTTTATTTTCATTAAGTTTCATTACATCATTGAATCAATTATTTTATTTTTTTATTTTTTTATTTAAATGTTTTAAATTTGGGTTAAGTTCAAAACATTTACAAAACAAACAAACTTTCGAGCTGCAGGAAGCCCATTTGCGTCCCATCTGACATTTCCTTTTTGAAAAGAGGCCATTCTGGTCAACAAATATTTGTAAACAGAAAGAATGTTCAGCTTCATTTTGTTTGACCTCTAGAAAAATGGATTTATATGCAGTTATTTTCTGTTTTCTTGTATGTTTAGTGACACATGGATCTTCAAACACTGCAGGTAAACATTTTTTTTTTTTACTTATTTGATCTAAAAGGCTGATGTACTTGTTATTATTAAAGGAAAGATGTAACATTGCTATTCAAAAAAATAAATAAAAGCAATATTGATTTGTTAAAATAACAGAAAACTAATTTTAGTTTCTTTACTTCAAAATAAAATGTTTTTAACTAAACATAGTTCTCTAACGTAAACATCTTACAACCAAAAAAAATTTAAAAATGCACTGGTATGTTACAATTACTTATTACACGGCTCTGTGGAATACTTGATTCTGATTGGTCAGTCGCGACATTCTGAGGTGTGTTATCCCTCGATATCAACCGGTAAAAGCTGATAACACAGGCTCATCCGGGTAACTGAAGTTGGCACTATACTCTAGGAATAGTATTTCTTGGTGGAAGCTTTGCATTTGGTTAGCTAATAAAATATTAAAACTCAATTTAATATTATGTGTGCAATTTTTTTATGTCATCCTGGTATCGCAGACTCGTTCTCGTTTCATACAAACGCAGCTGCTGCAATTTTGCGACGATTGTTTTATACACTGTAATGGATTATAAGATATAACTAACAAACTGGTAACATTTTAAAACATTTTCGTCTTAAATCAATATCTTTTATCGCCTTAATTATGTATGTGGTGAAATGTTGTGTAATAAGTGGTGTGACTGCACCGTATCTCTTAAAGGGGTCATATGATGCGATTTAAATTTTTCCTTTCTCTTTGAAGTGTTACAAGCTCTTGGTGCATAAAGAAGATCTGTAAAGTTGCAAAGACTAAAGTCTCAAATCCAAAGAGATATTCTTTATGAAAGTTAAGAGTCAACCACGCCTACCTAAAGCGGCTCATTCTAACATGCCCCCACATGTCTCCGTCATGATGTGGGAAGATATACATAATGCCGCCCAAATGTTCACGCAAAGAAAGAAGGCATAACTTTGATTCTCGCTGTAGTATTGTTACTGCCGCCGCCATGTAGTAGAGACGCTGTGTGTTTCGTTATGAAAACGAAACTACTTTGTTTGGCCTTCCAAAA